TGGAAAGCGTGCCGGGGGGGGGGAGGGGACTGTCCCCGGTGGGACTCGGGGCCCTTGCCTGGCTTGTGGGGCCCGGCGGCCCTGGGGGTCTGTGCCAGCCCCCGTAGGGCACTGCTTTCCCGGTGCCGGGGCTGCCGTGGCCGTGCCGGTGGAGTCTGTCGCACGGGGAGGGGGAGCGGTGGCGGTGATGTGGCACCGGGGTGGTGTTGACGTCGGGAACGGGCCTTTGCGGTGGCCAGCGGTTGCCTTATGTAACGCTGCGGCCCGGGCGGGGGCAATCACAGCGGCGCACCGGGCTGTCACCCACCCGCTGGGAAACAGCGACCGAACGAGGGTTCGGCTTTAGCGGGGGCTTGCCTCCAGGAGCCGTTGATGCTGCCGCAGTTTGTAGGACACTGAGCCAGAGAGGGAGCGTGCTGGGTGCTTGGGCTGCAGGGCCCAGGCTGCTGTGCTTGTAACGCCGGTGTCTGTGGTGCCCTTGCTGTGGGTTGTCTTGTAACAGGGGCTGCACAGGCAGAATTGATGTTGCTGTGACTATGGCAGGTATTTGTGGCGTTGGTCAGGCTTCTTGGGATTGCCAAAGCTGTTTCTATATACCCTGTGTTTTTCTCTTTCCCCCGCCCCCTTCTCTCATTCTTCAAGGTGAACTTCACAGTAGACCAGATACGGGCCATCATGGACAAAAAGGCCAACATCAGAAACATGTCTGTGATTGCCCATGTTGATCATGGCAAGTCAACCTTGACTGATTCTCTGGTATGCAAAGCTGGTATCATCGCCTCTGCCCGTGCGGGGGAGACCCGTTTCACTGACACAAGAAAGGATGAGCAGGAACGGTGCATTACCATCAAATCAACGTGAGTTCCCTGCCCTCATGCCACTTCTGTGTTCCTACTGCGTGGTCTGAGCTCAGGGGGCTTTGAGTCCTCCACTGGCTTGTTTGTGAGGTGAAAGAAGACGGCGTCAGGCTTTCTCTAGTCTAGTTTAGAAGCTCATCTCTTGCTCGTCAGGATTGCTTAAATGAAAGAGCAAGTATTGATTGGCTTCTGGTGAATCACGGAGCACTACCTTGGGGGCTACTGGGAAACAGATGTGCAGCAGGAGCTTCAGCCTTCCATTTTAACACTGGGACTGTTGGATGTGGCTGATGTCCGCTGGAGTCCCGCGGATGCGGTGCAGAGACTGTTTTGGGAGCATCTCTGGTGACGTACCTGGTGGCTGTGTCACCATGGGTGGTTTGAGGACCCTGAGGGACATGAAAATGGATCAAAAAGGTGGTTGGGCCAAGTAGAAAAAGCATAAATCCTTGTTTGAAAGAAATGGAACCCTCTTTGGGTGCTTTAAATTGCACGGAGTCAGAAGAGTTTATGATTTCAGAAGAGTGTAGGAAGGGCAGATTTTAGCCTGCGCTCCTGGTTATCTCCCACACTGGCCTCCCAGGAATACGCTTCAGGAAATCCTTAAGCCCAGGCAAAGCTGTCTGTGTGGGATAAAAGGCTGTTTCTAAGCATTGGGGAGGAGTAATGTGTAGATAATAATTTTAATAGTTCTTCTTCTATTTCAGAGCTATTTCCCTATTTTATGAGCTCTCTGAAAATGATTTGGCCTTCATCAAGCAGAGCAAGGATGGTTCTGGTTTCTTGATCAATCTGATTGACTCTCCTGGGCACGTGGACTTCTCTTCAGAGGTCACTGCTGCTCTTCGTGTCACTGATGGTGCCCTGGTTGTTGTAGACTGTGTCTCTGGTAAGGTTTTTTGCAGCCATATGCAACTGGAATGTGTGCTGGGCGAGTTGGAAAACAAGGATAACTAATTCCCCTGTGTTTGGCAGGC